AGTTAAAATCAAAATGGGATACAAACATAATTGGTAACGGCTTGTCTAAACGCAGAGGTCAGGAATGAAAAAGCACTTGCCAGGGATACAAAAAACAGTGCAGTGAATAGTTGGCGTGAGGAAATAAAACAAAGAAGAAAAATATTTATCACAATATAAAGGGAAATAGGTACAGAAGTTGGCCCTATTTTAAGAAGTTATCCAGCATTTGAGAGTTTCAGCAATGTTGTGTATAAAAAAGCATATATGCTTCTTAAAAAAGAGCAATAGATTAGGTACAGGAGCAGAGGGATAAAACAGGAGATAAAAGCGAAGATGGGACGCGATGATTTGTTAACCTGTCGTTAGAGTACTATATACAACAACTGAGAATGGGAAAATGAAGCAAGAAAATAAGAAAAAAAAATTAGCAAAGGAAATTAAGCAGCTTGACTGACCATTTACTTGGCTTCTTGGGCCGTTTTAGCCCCATCTTTCAAAGTTTTGAGTACCACCTTAAGTCCACCCCCAGTATTCGGGCCGGATGAACTAGCAACCATTTTAACAGCAGTCCGCTTGGTAATATCCGAGATAGCACTTGATGAGGAATCTTTATCATTTCCATTTTTTTCTTTATTCCTGTTCTTCTCTGGCTCTCTGCCTTCTTTTTCTTTCCTACGCTCCTCCTTTTTCCGATTCTCACGCAAAACCGTAATTTCTGCCTCGCCTTCCTCATCTTCATCTTCATCTACCGCTTCCATACACCCATTTTCATTCTCATGCTCCTCCTCCTCCGTATCTTCCTCTGCCCTCTCCTCGTTCATGACCAGCTTTCTCGCCAGATCCCCCCCCTCAAAAGTGACGTCTTTTTTCGGTACATCATCTTTAACTGAACTTTTATCTTTATCCTGTTCTCTTCTCTCTTTACGAGGAGCAAGATGTACTTGTAGGGTCGGCGGCGAAGAAGGAGCAACTGTAATACCAGAGCTTATGTAGCCAGCCATGAATAGGGTCTCGCAACAGTTTTCAGCTTCCACATCATTGAATCTGTCCTGCTGTCCAGTTTGTGTGACAGACGAATCTAAAGCCTTGTCCATGATAGTCATACCAGCCATATCGAGTGAAGGGCGAGTATTCACATCAAGTTCAAGCCGGTCATCCTCGCTTGCCTCCTGGATTAATGCGAAAGCATTAGAAGTATTGTCATCTCCGACTAATTTGCCTTCTTCTTTATCTTTGTTCATCTCGTGGTCTGGCTCGTTTTTTTCAGAATCATTTATGGAATTAGAGATGACCAGACCAGATTCCAGCTCTTCCTGGTCTTCCTCGAGTGTGGAATCCATTTTTGTGCAATGATCTGCCTCATCCATCTCCTCTACCTCATTTATCTCCTCTACCTCATCCATCTCCTCTACCTCATCAATCTCATCAGCCTCCAGACTATTTCTTTTGGAATCAACCCGATGATGATTTATCAACGCATTCTGTATACACGAGCTCGGCGCCTCGTCTGAATCTAAGGCACGCAACGAGTCCATCAGATGGAGATCTGGCTCCTTTTTTACATCCTTCCGAAGAGATATCGAGACTCCTGTTACACCCCCTACTATGCCTGATAGGGTGTTCAACATCGGCAATGGTATGGAGAGCGGAGTAGTGGAAGAGAGACCAGTGGCTGTAACAGTGGCAGCGGCGGACGCGGATGGCAACAGTGGGATAAGAGGATTTCCAGGAGAAAGAGCGGACGCGTTCAAGTTTAGCAATATCGACGTGGGGCTGCTAACCGATGGCTTTGGCGGTAGACAGCTGTTACCAGAAGTGGCAATATCGGAACTTTCTGGTGAGGCCTTGATCGCATTATCAGATAGGCCCATGCTACTCTTGGTGATATTATGCTTTAATGGACTGCCAGTATTAGATTCTAAAAGCGTTGTGGTATTGGTGGTGGGAGTGGTGGCGCTAGGAATGGTGGGAAGGAGCCTCTGTA